AAAAAAAAAAAAAAAAAAAAAAAAAAAAAAAAAAAAAAATCCGGAAAAACAGTTTCATTTCCTATATAATAAACTTGCCTGTAATAACAATTTTGAAAGCAAATCATAGATCCAAGACATTTGGTAAGGTTTGTAAATGCACATAACTCTGAGGTGTAATTTCTATCAGCAAATGAAAGTGTAATAGTTCCTTTACATTGAAAATCAAACCAAATAAAATGGTTTTATGCTATTCAGTAACGCAATAACGCAAAGAGCACAAGCTAACAATTACTTTAATTACTTAGCGGCCATTGAAAGAAACTCACTGCCCAGCGCCGCCGCTGCAGAGAGACCCAATTGTGTTTTGTTCGGAGTCTTTGTATCTAACAACACTGGCGACATTCTCGACCCGACAATTAACCGAGTTTTTATCCCTAAGGTTGTATGGTCCATTTTCTGAAAAGCGATAAGACATGCGGGCTACGGTTGTCTTTTCATTCCGCGCTTAGGGAAAATGGAAACGCTTGTTTGCATTTGTGCTCCGACCAGCTTGTTGCTCTGTCGTCCCTGCAATTACGTATAATTATGGAAACAAGCCCTGCCGCAGTGTCGTTTGTGTAAAACAGTGACACATACAGAAAACTGCAATATTCCTTAGTTCGTGTTATACAAGAATGTTCGCAGAGCGCTGTTAACTCCACGCACTGAAGGCAGGTAGTTAGTTGCCTTTTGTATACAAGTTCTCGCGGGAGCAATTTCCGCGTAGAGAGTATTTAAAACTAGCTTGCTTTTAAAACTTGCTGGATAAGCAAGTTCCATTTTAATACTTCCGTATAAAAGCGTTGCGTTCACGCAAGTTAAAAGTTAATTGCTTCAGAAAATACTTAAATTGCATACAGGTTTGTGGAAATTTTACTCAATATGTCTCAAGAATTGGCATTTCGGTGCACAGTATTAGGCCATTTTCTGACTTGCCGGTGCGGCAGCGGCGCGACATCAGCATGCTCGGTACCAACACGATACTGTAACGCCTTCATCTACGCGCGTGTCGTATATTCTCGGTACAAAATTCTGCAGTACCTGCTCCTTGTAACGTCGCGAGACAATGTCGTCCTCTAGTGGTGAAGACATTTTGGCGTGTTCTTTTTATCTCTGAATATTCTGCTGGTCTATAATTGTACAGCACCAAATTGACATGGATGTCTCTGTCCACCATCATGTTTATTGCGTATTTATGTGTGCGCGGGCGTGCGTGCTAAATGTTGAGCGGACTGAGCGAGGCGTGGTAACCCGAAACGATCCCTTCCCGCTCTGTCCAAACCGCGCCAATCAGGAAACGCACATTTTTCAAATTTGGGCGCTCGGTAAGCTTTAGATGCTGCGTAAATCGAGCGTACCAATACCGCACCGCTACCACGCCGACAAGTCAGGAAACGGGTGGCCATGATTATAAGTGTTATCGAGATTATTGTTGATCTGGTTGCGGACCTATACACAAGTAGAGAACGTTTGTAAATCAATGTGTTTACTTTCCGCCGGGTCAGCAGCCGCGCTGCAGTGGGAAATGAATGGTAATTCGCGGGTGGGGAGCAACGGATTACTGTCTTGTCCTGTCGTTCGCAGCTGCCCGTAAAAACGGGAACGGAAGCGAGTCTCCTTCGTGCATGGATTAATTATGTTGGTTGTCGTTGTCCTTCTCAGCAAAGTTGTGTTCCGGGCTGTGGCCTGAATATCCGCATCGTGTTGGACGGTCACGGTGCAGTGTGGCAGTAACACAAGGCGCATGACGCTTGCAAGACGCGACTTCGCGAGCGAACATTCGTGCCGAATGCTCTTTTTAACAATTTGACGCTTTCAATAAAAACTGAATATAAAGTATGTCAAAATTATAATTGCATAACTATCAAAGAATTTCAGAACTTTTTTTATTGTTGTCTATTGTTGATCTGATTTCAGGTCTTCATTTACATGAAACAGATCTCGAAACTCATTAAGAAGATAAAAATCAAGTCCTCCGCAGAAGTGTTGCGTATACGTTATATACAAATAAAATATGCCCGCTGCTGTCAGTGGAATGTGGGTTAAAGGTCGTCACAGGGTCAGGTATGCTTTGTGAGCCCCTTGTTTGTATAAAAGGCAAAACATGCAAGTCACTGTTACTGGAGTCTGACCCCCTGGTACTTCCGTCTTGTAATCCGGCGACAGTGTTTATATTGTAGGATCCTCGATGATGTAGGCTAGTTGCACATTTATTGGCAGATGTCCTTATCGGGATAGGTTAAAGTGCTGGCAGTGATTCGTTTAGAAATTTGAGCTGAACTCTTGTTTGCTTAAAAGAGCCTAATTGAATATTTTTTATTATAGAAGACCGAAAATATGACATATAAATATATTTACTAATATTTAATGTCCTCATATTCCATTTTCATAATCACTTGAAAGGGTTGTAACCCTAACTAGCCGTGAACAGGTTCACGGCAATGAAATGGGAAACTTCCGGTCCACAAAATTTATTAAAGAAGTAAAGTTTAAAGAAAGGCTGTAACAATATAAAGGTAAATGTAAAAAAACAGGTATAACAGTATAAAACACTCCCTACACTTTATTATTAAGGCACTTACCCCTAAATGGGCCAAGAAACTGAATTACAGAAATAGATACATGAAGGCTGTAGACTTATAAATTATTACACATGATTAGCTTATTAACAGCTCCGACTGTTGTGGCGGTCGAGCTGGGAGTGACCGTGGTACGAAAACAAAATGAGAAAGTGAAGGAAGATGGAACAATTCAAATTTAAAATTTAAATACATGTAAAATAAAAAAAATGATAGGATACAAGCGGAGAGAGGCGGTACAAAGAGGTGAGATGACGGTGTAAGGAGGTCACACCGTCACACACTTGTACAATTTGAGATTATTTCGTGAGATACTGTTTAATCGGTGCTGGTCTGTTACCCTCGCGCGCCCGTGTAGACAACTACGTCGCGTTGGCGGTGCGTGCACATTGACTGCACATGTGTGCCGCTGTAACGGTTGCCTCATCACTTCAGCCACAGTTAGCTCACAGTTTATCTGAATTAAACTAGCTTGTAATGGTTGCTTATGTATGTGTGCAACAGAAAGGCGTGGTCATTTTAAACTACCCAAAGCGTAATGGATTTATACCCTCTGTGCAAAATTTGAAACGAAAACGAGAGGTCGTGGTCATCACGGAGTATTTGTTAGATTGTTTGATAAGCTAGGATGTATTAGCGATCGATATTGAATATTTCACCTTAATCTGCACCTCATACAGATGTAAAGTTATTCCTGAACTGGAGATAACCATCGCGAAAACCCCCAGTAGCCACGCCCTAAAACGACACAGACGGATTTACGAAATAGAACTGCAAAGCAAAAAATAGGAAAAATTTAGGCAATCACAGAATGATTAATTTTATTTTAATCAATGTATTGTTAGTCAACTATTACATTGTAGTGAGAACGCGCTTGAAGCTTAGGTTCTTTATTTACGCGTTACCTACATCGCAAAGTATTATAATTTCTCTTAACGATTGGTAGAAAACCGTGCTTATATATGCATAATTCTAATTATTGCGTCAACAACCGGCTACTTCCATGATCACTTTCGCCCAACATTATCGCCGACTCCACAGCGAATGTATCACCATGGCCTTGGGCGCGGGGCGGGGCAGGGGGCGGCCCAGTTTAATATGAGCACTATTTTCTTTCTTTCGCGACGCTGCCTCCTAGTACTACTTCATTTTTATGTTAGATACGTCGTCTTTATTCCTTATCAGATTGGCGTTACCCCTTGCAGCGCCACCATGCTCAACCATCTGTGATTGGCGAACACGATATATCATATATTGTGTGTTTCCAAGGCATTTTTGCAGATCAGTTCTGACGTTACCCAGACGCGGTCTAGTGCCTATGACTCTTAACTTGGTCTACACACATCAGTGTTAGCATCCAGCAGCAACAGTCCGTTAATAGCGTATCTTTGTTGCAGCGGCATTCTTCTACGTGGGCACATCGAAGACCCCCGCGGGCGGCGCGGGCGCGGCGCGGCTGCGCGACGAGCGCGGCGGCACGGGCCCGCTGCGCCGCTACCGCGGGGAGGCGCTGACGCTGTCGCTGCCCGAGGGCACGACGCTGCGCGACTATCGCTGGTTCTCCGTGTGGTGCGACGAGTTCTCCGTGAGGATCAAACATTAATAGTAGGACGGGAACAATTGTTCCCGTGTACACGCAACATTGTACCTAAACAATCTCTATTTTCAAGCATCTGACATTGTTCTGTTCAGCAAAGGATTACTTGACGGCTATACTTACAAGTTTACTAGTAAAAGAAAGTTAATTTTTGCTTCTAGTGTCATTTGCAAATGTTTGGTGATCATTTTCTGCAAGAAGCATTTCTCCATTTTATAGTTTCTGTTGTATGAAGATTGTAGCGGCTGTGATCACCTTCGGCAGAGAGTAAAATATTCTAGGTTTACTTTCACGTAAAAGGACAATGTTTCATTTGCATACCGATGCAGCGAAACGCCAATGGTTCGTCCTAAGTTAACGCTATTGAATCTGGTTTGCCATGTCGTCGTCGACATGACAAACCAGGGTAGTGACGTCACTCGTAAATAACGCTGTTTCAATACACGTTACAATAAGAACAAGAAGACAGTAAGCCGCGGCCGCGGGCCCCGCAGAAGCCCGAAGGGTTGGTTTGTTTGAAAAACAAATGTACGCTATTTAAATTTAGATTCGAAAGAAGTTTCATTTCTAAGAACAAGAACATGAAAGTCTTTTGTGTTGCAATAAAACACTAAGAGCCGTAGAGATTGAACAATTCGTTGCAGTAGATATAAGACGACGAATATCGCCTCCTCGTAAGTGTGAAAGAAATGTTGTGCAGGTGAACTTCGGCGACGTCCAGTGGAACCGCGAGGTGGAGTTCCCGCGGCCGGCGCGCGTGGGCGCGCTGCGCGGCGTGCACGGCGTGGCCTCCGACCCCGTCGTCGTCGTCGACGCGCAGACGCTGCTCGTGCCCAACTTCTCTTACGACGGAGAGGCGCCGGGTCAGTACTGCCGCTGCCAATACTAGTCCTTTAGGTTGACTATGTGTTGCCGCCGCTTTTTAATGTTATATCCTTGATTGTGACTGTGGTGTCTATACGTGCGTACATCGAATGCGAATCAAAGTCGAAGGGTGACTGGTTGTGACCAGTTATGCTTGCGCTTGTTTGAATGACCTCCCACTGTTGCATATAAATTGTCATATAAAGATCTCTGTTTATTGTTGTTACCTTTTGAGTTTGGAATATGTTATTGACCCGAGACACGGTTGAATTGTACGTACCCAGCACTTCCTTTGTGTTTGGTATTATTAACAGAAATTCCACAGGTACAAAGGAATGTCTTTTGTTGCGGGGCGCTCACATAAATGACAGTATCTATGACGATTATCGCCCATTACGCTTGCTGCCCAATTACCGCGATTCCTATTTTCTTGCTAATATATGTATGTAATCTATGAAATTAGTACTACGCGGGGTAGGTATGTCACAAATTATCTTTAATTCGTACCAAACATTGCTACGACTATAATTGATTAGTGTGGACGGACGTTTGTCGGCAGAGACAGTGATTTGAATCCGCCGACTGCCGATGGCGGTGTCGCAACCGAGCAGATATAATCGGCCGTCGTTACACGTAGTTTTACTCACAGAACAATAAATACAGTAGAAGTGGTTAGTTAACGGTCTGACGCGTGCCAACTATAGGTCTCGAAAGACCTATTTAAGCTCAGTCCACCATTTTCGCTTTGTATGTTATGGTTTTGTGTAATTCTTTCGTGCAACATTTTCTAAAATCCTTGAAAAATGCTTTATTGTGCTGTTTTGGAGTGCAAAATGATAGCCGCACCAAAAATATTACCCGTGGCGGTATTTCATATCATCAAAAAGTCTTATTTTAATAAATTTTCAATTTTCTGTTTATCACAATATTTTTTTGTTACAAGATACGAAAGTAAAGCTTATGCCCCTGCAATAATATCGTCGAAAAAAATAACTTCAATTCGTCGTCTTTCAGCAATTAACCGCTCGATGGCAGCACATTGATAGAAATTTCAATTTAATATCAAAACGTCGTAACTTG